AGAGCTGTGTGACTGAATGGCCAGATATACAAATCTTTTAGCAGGTAAAATGGCTCCCATATATTTATTTCATCTGTGTATTCAGCTGTCTGCCTGGGATTCAAGCCTTAGGTCTAACCAAGGTCTGTCTATTTTTGCACAAAAAATATTTCTTCTCATATTTCTCTTTTGATGTGGTGTTACAACAGTTGGTGGAGTTACATCTCAAAATGTATCCTCTGTCACTGAGCATGAACTGGTCAAAAATTTCTGTGTAGACGCGGAATACATCAGGAGCGCACACTGCCTGAGTAATACCCAAGCTCTTCTCCTGTAAATACTAGACACGTGTGATTCGTTTACTTACGAATCAAAATCCGGATTAAATGTTTGTGTTTTGGAGATTCAGATGTAATGAATTTCAACTAAACCAAAATAAATTATATTGAAACAACAAATATATTTGCAATCGTTCATTTCATTCGGATGACATGATGCGATAGTTTGGGCCTTTTGTTAATGTTTCAAGCATCTGAAATAATAACAATGAATGATCCAAATTGACTCGGATCCATTTCATTTTTATTTTACATTAACATTTTTTATTATTATAAAAACTGCAGTACTTATGAAATGGAAACATACTGCAATAAATACAGTAAGGTATAAAAGTGAAATAAAATGATTCCTACTTACTTTTGGATTGGATGGAGCTGGATCCATCAGAATCTCTGAATCATAACATAACGAATGAATCCAAAATTAATTTTGTTCCATTCATTACTCCAGTCAATATCGTCCAATGAGCTCATTCCATTTCTCTTTGAGTGAAAAATACAGTACAGTAAGGTATAAAAGTAAAGTAAAATGATTCCTACTTTTGTGTTTGGGTTGGATGGAGCTGGATCCATCAAAATCTCTGAATCCTAAGATAACGAATGACTCAAAAATGAATTTAATTTCATTTGTTACTCCAGTCAATATCGTCCAATCAGCTCATTCTATTTGTCTTTGTGGGTTGAACTAGCATGGATGACTCACATTGCATAAGTAATCTCTTGAAATAACTAATTAACACGTTAAAATTAATATAGCTAATCTTACAAAATAACTTCCAAAAATATAAATCGATTCAGAACAAATATACTTAATGAATCCAAATTTATAAACAAATCTGAAAACAAATCAAACTAAGATAATGAATATGATGAAACAAAATCATTTATCTAATAATTGAATCTGAAATGAAACAATTTTTTTCGTCATGCACATCTCTAGTAAATACGGTACATTAAATACAGGCAATTGTTTCTGAAACAATCATTTCTGATCTTAACGAATAGTCAGTTTCATGTCCTGGGCAGGGCTTAGAGGAAGAATGATACTGAACATCAAAACCAAACACATTTATAATAATAAAAAATACACTATGACACATTACTTTCCTAGGAGTGTTATGTCCACAGATTTTATTAAATAACAAGATAATAACAAAACTACAATTTTGACACCAGTTCTTCAAAACAGACATGGATTCTAATACAACCATTAAACCCAGGTCCTTGACCACACCCATATGTTCCATTGTAGACCCATGCCAGCTACCAGCCATTCATAACCAGCTCATTCGGTACACACCAGTCATTTTACACCATTGTTCATCTGGAAAAAACATTAGTAATTACTTGAACACCACATAATCAATTTGTGATCATTAAGGTTAAACCACCCACTAAAACATTACCAATGATCTTACTATTTTGGTACCACCAAGAACCTGCCAATTCTGTGACAAAATAGCAACATGCCCCATAAGTCCCCTGGTGTCTTCCCATACCTCGAGTCTCAAAATTTATAATCATAGCCATTACCACAGTGGGGCAGGCAGGTGGACCAAATTGCTCACCTTGCCATCTTATGCTCCTCGGGGTCAGCAAAATTCTAACCACCTTTTCCCTGCTTCCTACATCCTATCCTTACATCATTCCCCATCCTTTTGTACCCCTTTCCAGTCTACCTTGTCATGTGCCATTTCTCCTATGTTCTCAGGACAGTTCTTCACAACAACCTTTGATATTTCCAAGAAATTCTTTTTCCATCAGTTTAATGTAGCACCCTCCTAGATAGGACAAATTTAGATCAGGGCTGAGAGGCTCTGCAGACCAGCTCTCTGAAATTTTCCCTGCACTAGAACTTTGGAGAATAGTCTAGAAGCAGTGGGAAGGAGCGAGGAGTGGTTAGTCTGCATTCTCAAGGGATCCTGGCCAATCCCCAACAGGAGGCTTGGCACTGGGCCAGGACACCCCTTAAGAGTGACTGAGCCTGCCCAGCAGCAGGAGAGTTTGGGTGGAAGATGGAGAAGTGAGAGACTGGAGAGCAGGAGCCTGGGAGGGGGCCCAGATGGGAAGGGGCTCACGTACAGGCAGGGAAGCTTGGAAGAAGGAAAGTTCAGGACTTCACTGGCTCCCAGAGCGAGGACCACCTATGCAGCAGGGAAGGAGCGGCCCAGCAGCAGCATAGGAGAAGGACTGAGTAGACTTGCACCCTCCCTGGGCCAGTAAGTGGAAGAAGCACTCTGGTGGCAAATTGGATTAGCTACTACCCAGGGCTGTCTTCTCTTAAAGTGACAGGAACTGGATGCCCTGCCCAGGGACTCACCCAGAGCAGCTGGATAAGGAGTATATGGGGTCTGGGATGGTACATCAGGAGATGCTGGCTAGCTCTCCAAGAAGAAAGATCCATTATTTTGCTGCTAAAAGAGACATGTACATAGTTCAGGAAGATTGTCCTATGTTGCCATTACCCTTGGGCATCCAATACACCCCTTACCCTAGCCAAGTTAATAAAATAATAACAAAATCCCTCAAAAAAGAACAAGCTCAAGGACTGGTTACTGTCTCAAACGTGTTGCCTGGCTGTTCAAGACTATAGGGGGACCCAAAACTCAGGGGGTAGTGCTAAATTAATATCTCTAAAAAAACCTCTTAAATACTTCAAAGTGATATGTAGGTGCAATATTCAGCTCCTTAGTACTTGGATCTTATCCATACCCAGTACAGAGGAAGATACAATAAATTAACATTTGCTACTTCATCCTTTTTCTCTGTGGGTATCTTGATGCCCTGGTTATTTTTTCATTCTAGCCCATCTAGTAGATTTGAGGATTTTTTCTTATTAATTTTCTGCTGTTTTTTTATGTTAGTTGCCTTGTTGTTATATGTGGTTTCCTATAGTAGTTGTTTTGCTGACTTTTCCATTACTAGGATCATTATCAACCATAGTTTTCTGCTTCTGTGTATTGAGCAGCCCGAGACTCTCAGAATGACCCAATGAACTGACTGTCACTAGTCTCAGAGTTTTGCCTAAGAAGGATTTATAGACATCCTTTATATAAAGCTGGCCATACCTTAGTAAATTTTCAAATTAACTTTCATACAAATGTACAAACATTAAAAAAAAATTCTCATCAGTGCATTCAATAACACAGTGAATGTCATTTAAAAGTACTTCAATAAACACTTTCTTTTAATTTGATTTTGCAGCGAATGGACCAAACAAAAAACACATTTTACTGGTAGAAATTAGTTCCTTCAAGAAAATGTTTCCATCCTTTCAATGTGTTCTTATCACTGCAGTCAAAAGAAAACTTCTATTTGACCCCATTAATGATTAGAAAATTAAATGGATGTTCTTAAAAACAAAATATTTAATACTAAATTCTACTAGTGTATTTCCAGCTTCAGTTTCTCAACATCCCCACCCAAAGACTGTATTCACGTGATAATACTTTCCTATTGAAATTTGTCCCTTTTTATCTGCATAGTTTAATTTTTTTGTTTCACAAATATTTTTTAGTTTAATAAAATAATCAGTTGTAAAGTCTTTATTGTCTCCAACGACTGCAATAAAATGAGAAGTAATCCTTGTTTTTTTTGGATGTAATAAGACATCTGCATACATTTTATTTTAAGATAGTTCAACTAGCACTGATTCAGCTGGAGGTCTTTTTACTCCCTTGAGTCCCTTCTCCCCAAAATCTTTTCTCGTTAGGTCCTGAGCCATACACTAAAGAAGCCATGGTTGCCCTACACTGTACTGATGATGGCCAAAACCCCTGAAACAATTGTATAAAGCTTGAAATAAACAGTTCTATAATCATGGATCTACAGGCTGTATCCATACATCCCAAGTTTCTGAGATAAGAAAGAGAACTACCTTTTAGCGCAAAGTATGTAGGCAAAGGGCCCCATTTGCACAGATCTTGAATAATTTATGTGCAGAAAATGATTGGTTAAACCCACATTTGCATTTATTACCATTTTCTTTTCTTTATAATGCCTTTCCAGTATACCAGATACAATAATTTGGAGGTTAGGTGAAATGTTTATTGTAGTAAAAGAGTTGTAGAGTACATTTTGTTATAGAGGTTGGTGCATTAGACCAAAAAAGAAGGGCAGATGAGGAGAAAAGGAAACAGAGGCATTTGGTTTCGGAAGAGGGAACGTCCCCTGAAATTAGGGACAGATGGAAATGATGTTGTATCTGTACCATACATCAGTTCTGGAGAAGGTTGTTTGGGGTATAATGGAATGATTTGCATGGGTCAGTCAACTGTCCTGAAATTAGGAATAATCCTCTTATTTTTGGGATATGTGAAGGAATGAAACAAATACATTTTGTTTTAGGAATGCTTTACTGTGCTACTTTTAGTCTAATTCCATATAAATGGTTTTTGCACATTTCTACATATCATGTTTAAACATTACGCTGATGTGGTAGATATATACTTATGCACATATTAATATTTTGTAGATGGTGTTTGAATTGGGGATAGTAACATATAGGACATTATTTTCTGTAGATGTAGTGCATCTTTAGTGCTTTATTTTTATGTATATCTAGCAATATCCATTATTTTATAATATTATTAGAGGTACTTGTAACACCTATAATTGCAGCTATATACAGTATTAACAAAATGTATATTCCATATATACAACCTCCTTTACCTTTTTAACCAGTTAGTTAAGCAAAGTCAAGGGCCCTAAATCTTCCTCCTTTGTTGGGACTCCTGGGCAGAAAAATGGAAATAGCTTCCCCACAAAATGGCATCCTGTGATTTCAAAAATTAGGCCAGTTGTGTCTAAATCATAGAAAGCCAAGTAGCCATCTAAAATGTCAACAAACACCCCAATTCTCAGGGGAGGGCGCATAAACTTTGGACATAACAGGCCACAGGCAGTGAAGATCTTGTCTTCTTGTTTATTTAACACCCAATACCCCTTATCTGGATCCAGGCTTTGAGGTCCCTTTCTTGGCACTGACTCTTTTACAACACCAATAATCCAGTTGCTTTTATGGCTAACATCTACTTCCCAGTAGTGCTGACCAGAATTAAACCCAGGAACTCCCAGAACATAAAGTCCAGGTTCAAAAGAGTCGTTACTTTTCGGAGGTTGTGCAAAAGGAGAGAACCTCACCTGCTTGAGATTTTTGGAGAGGACAAGGTTAGTATGAGCACTCTGCGGGTCAAATTGTAATGATCTCTGCTGTGGTTTCACAACATGCCTTAACCCTCTCCACTCCCGTGTGTGGATCGTGGACACATGGCCATGTAATGCTATCTCACATTTGGACAGATCCTCTAGTTTTGCCCTAAACATATTCACTATCTCAGTGTCTACAATTATCACCCCTCCATTTTCCAGATGGAAAAGCAATGTTCTAATGGAGGAACACAGTTCTGAAGCCAGAGATTCTTTATTCTGTAAATCCTTTATGGCTTTTTGTTCTTTATCTTCAGTTTTTGTCAGCTGCATGCTTTCCTCCTTTATAAGATGTTGGCGAAGTTGCTGAAAGGATTCACTAATTCTCTCTCTGCATAGAGTGGCAGTGAAATGCACAGAGTACAATTTTTTTTTCACACTGTTCAAATAATTCCCATGCTTCCTTCTGCATTGAAAAGACTTCTTCAGTCACTTGTGTTTTTTCATCTTCTTGATGGTCAGTTTGGGAAGGGCTCTGGGTAGAGAGGACACAATCAGTTATCAACATGTTGAATATCATGTATGTTTAAAAAGCATGCAACGTCAACTATAATGAGGTTTAACAGGTAAGTATAATAGTCTAACTACAAACTGGAGGAACCCATTTGTCTACCAACGTATTTTCTGTAGATATCTGTATTTGTTAATTGCAACCTATACATACCCTCTGTTGGAGACATAGCCTATGCTGGCAGGTTTGCCACTGGACAAACCCTTTTTCTTGGTCAGAGCTGTCAAATCATCCAGATTTGCCCCGTGCTTCAGGGATTCCTATTTCCTTCTCCATTTCTCCCGACCATCTATTTGGTGCTAGAATGCATTTGCATTTATTTTTATTTGCTCCTATTGACGTCTGTCAATTTTAGGATTTTTTTTTTAGGCTTTCTGGTGGATACTGGTGGTGGTTTACACTGGTCAGAGACTGGTCAGTACTGTAGAAGGTTGGCCTGAAGCAAAAACAAGGTCAGACTGTAGGGTGACTAGAACTGCACAGGATCAGGCTGAACAGTGGTTGAGGCAGGAGACCGAACTGCATGGGATTTTTTCTTTTTAGGTTTGGACACTGAAGTCCTGCTAATGATTGCAGGGTACCGATCAGGTATTTTATTGGCAAAAAAGTTAAAATAGCAGTGGAAGTCTGTGAGGGTAAAAGTAGTAGTGTCAGGAAAGGTTGTCTGGGGGTGTTAGAATGGGTAACTGGGCTAGGGGGAGAGACTTCTGGTTACAAGGCTATGGAGTAGGATACTGATATAGGTGTAGTGCTACTCTCTTGAGAGCCGCTGGTTTTGGGTCCCCCTTTACTTCCTGCACAGTCAGGGAGCCCATATTTTCCACTTATATCCAGACATAAGAAACAGTTCATGGGCTTTGTTTTTTAGTTTTATTAGGAAATTTAACTTGGATAGGGTAAAGGGGTTATGGGATGCCCAACTGGTTTGCAGAATAACAAATTGAGGACAACTTCCTTCTAAAAAAAAAAACCTACAGAAATGGCAGATGAATGACTGTGTTCAAGCCGGAAACCCTGACAGTCCTTAGCGAAGTAAGTTTGCTGGAACTGAGTCCCCTTGAATGGATTTTTAGCAAAGTTCCAACTTGCAGGAGCTTTAAGTCCCCTAAGTGAACAAAATACCAGCCCACCTGGCTACAGTATCTGATCCCAGGACAAGTGATTGGGTAAGCTATAAACTGTCCCCTGAAGACTTGCATCCAGCAGACACTTATATGCCCTTGGGGTGTAAAGGTAATCACACTGTTCTTGTTCTGCAGCTGTGCATAGAACTGAATTCAGGCCTTCCACTGGGCTGGTTCCTCTCCAAGCTATGCAGGCTGTCCTTCCCCAGTGGATACAAAGAAAATAAACAGTGGGCGCACCGGCCTAGTGCATTATTGTAAAAAATATTTATTAAAAGGATAAAAAGTAAGTATCGTACTCCCAATTGACATACAGGACAAAGGCAAATCACACAAAACAGCAGGGTGCCAATCCACACTGCATATAAGTCCATAAATGGAACCCTGGACTTCCAACAGGCTAACGCGTTTCGAGGACTCAGCCTCTTCCTCACAGCCTGAAGGCCCCCTCCCAGGCTACACAGAAGCACTCCATCTTCCACCTGACTCCCCTGCTGGCCAGGCTCTGTGATATTCATGGACTGGTCTGCCACACTGCCAGGCCCCTCTGCCTGGGATTGGTCAGACTCCCATAAATATGCAGATCAGCCCCTCCTCAACTCCACCTTCTGAAATCCAGAAGCTTTTTCAAGTTTCTAGAGCAGGGAGAGGAACCAGAGGACTGACCTGTAGAGCCCTCCAGCTCTTACCTGAAGTAATCCTCTGACTAAACCCAGGCATTTAGCAAGCCTCTAACTACTCTCAACAACTATATACACCAGAAGGCGCTGCATAAGGTTGGGTGTAAAATGTATGGAGTTGCAGCTGTGGTTGCTCTAAGTAAAGGAGAAAAAGATCTTTGAGGAAGCGTGGTGGCTATAGTAAAAAATAGAGTGATACAGATTATATGTGGTAGGGGGCGAAATGTCTGACCAAGCTTGGAATAACGGCTGGACAAAACTTACAATTTCTCTGACCAGAGAATTTACCATATTAAAGCAGTCCACCAGAGCCTCTTGTGATATGCTGAATAATGTTCTAAAGATGGGATTTATCATCCTCATACAACCACACCAGAGACACAACCTGAAACACACTAAAGGAAGGAGAAAATCATCACTTCAAGAGTCAACAGGTAATACCAACTTGGCAAAGATTTGAACTTCGGTAAAGTGGACACTGGAACTACCACTTTCAGGTCCAAAGACCACAGTGCCACCAGCAGGTGCTCAGGTTCATGACATTACCTCGGTGTTTCTCAACCTTTGCTCAGTCAAGGTACCCTTCAAAATTCTTCACAATCCAAAAGGCACTTCATTCTAAAATGTAAACCCCTAAAGTAATGGTTTTCCATGATACAGCAGCATTGACAAATGTAGGACACCCAAGGTTAGAGGTGATTTATTATTCCAAAGCAAACACACCATTGCACACTGGTACTGACAAGTATTCCAATATTTCTCTCTCTCACTCAGCTAATGTGACCCCAGTGCTGATGGAGGGCGGCAGGGGAGGGCTAAACAAGCATGCTGTGCAGGCACTTGAAGTCCTCCTTATCAACTGGTCATGTCAATGGTTGTCAGGACGCCGGTGGCTGGAAGGTTGTAGTGGTGCCCAATTTAAACCTGAGGCTTTGTGTAACTGAAAGGCTGGTTTGTATACAATTTTGGGGCAATTTTTTAGGCATGTTGCCAAGGCACCCCTGAAGAAAAACGAAGGCACCCCAATTAAAAAATGCTGCATTAGTTTTGTTTTTCTGCAATATTTTTATTTCAGTTTTTTCAATAACCATTAAAATCTTATCTTTTTTTGTTCTTATTTGTTTTGGTTGTTCATTTTTTGTATTTAAAAATGGTCAAAATTGAACAAAAAACTTTATTTCATGTGGAAATAACGTACAATGCTTTGTATCAGAAACATAATTTTAGTGCCATTATAAATAGAATACAATTATTTTAAAAATTATACTTTATCTATAGTAACTATTTTTTTAAACTAGAAAAAATTGTTTTTAAAGGTTTTGTTTACATTTTTTGGTCTATAGAGTGCATATAAAATAAAATAATTTTTGCTATACAGTACCAACAAAGAGAGTCTTGTTTGTAAAAACAAAAAGTATTACATTCTTGCACAAACACACAATGGCCACGTATTCTTTTTAAGCCTAGCACTAGGCTAGAGGATCTCCTTCATGGGCTTGACCAACTGATCCTCTACAATGTATAATCATTAATATACGGAAATTATTTTATTCATTCAAATATGTTTGCAAAACAAATACATTCATCATTTAGATAACTGACTTTTTGTCTACGAATTTTCTTTTACGATTTTTTTCTTGTAAATTATATTGGATAGCAGCAATTACCATTGTTTCTTCTTGTGAATTTGAAGAAGTTTAAAATATATTACAATTTTAAATTTAATTTCGATTGAAAAAAAAACCAAGCATATTAAAAAAGGAAATTGATTATTCAACCTATTATCTTACATGAAAGATAAAAAAATAAAAATAGTTAACATCAATATAATATATAGCCTCCAATCTTGCACATGTTCTTATGTTCCAAAATTCATTGAATCCACTTATAATCCCAAAGTGTGCAAATGTGCAGTCTTCACATAATTGTGTTCATTCAGTGCACTGTCATTCACACCCTTTAGGCCATATGTGTCAAACACAAGGCCCGTGTGCCGAATCTGTCCCGTCAGGTCATTTCATGTGACCCTTGCACCTCTCCTGCAGCTTGTCAAGCAGTTGGCAGCAGAGTGGAGGACATAACTCCTTCTCCAGATCCCACGCAACCGCAGAGAGACTCTTTCCTGCTCCTCCCCCTTCCTGTGTCAGCAGTCGGTAGCAGTGAGGAGGACAGAACTCCTCTGACAGATCCTGTGCCTCTCTGTGCAGCCACAGCACCCTTTCATCGCCCCTTCCCCTGGTCTCAACATTCACAAGACTCCAGCAGCTGATTCCAGCCCTCCTCTGGTCCTCCTCCAGACCCTGCACTTTCTGCTTCCCAGCTTCGCCCTCAGCTTCTTCCCAGCAGCAGCACAAGGTAAGTGGGGTGCACTATGATGTAAGGGAGGGTAGGGGACTCTTGACTTCTGATGATGGTGGTTTTGGGAGGGGAGTGGATATTCTGGACATCTAGTCTTACAGATAAAACTGTTTTTTTGAGGGCAACAATAATGCTGATGCAACATGCAGTGAAATTAAGTTTGACACCCGTGCAGTAAAGGATCATGATGAAGATTGTGCACTATTTCCTGTCAACTTATAATTAGTTGAAACTTTTTTCTGGATTTTTCTCACAAAAATATTTACATTTGTTTTGGACATTTATTATTAGTGTTGCCCATAGACATTAAAAGACACTTGTATGTTCAGGGACGATGCAACTGCCATCAGACAAACTTTTAAGGAGATGCAGAGGGCTCCGCAAACTTGCAAAGTGGAATTTTTAAAAACCTAATTCCAGGCACATATTAAAAAACACTAATTAAAATATTTCAGAATTAATGGAGGTCATTAACCACCCCCCTCCAGAGGATTTACCCCCCTTCCTGACCAGGCCATTTTTTTGCATTACAGCGCTGCGTTACTTTAACTGACAATTGCGCAGTCATGCAACACTGCACCCAAATTAAATTTACATCCTTTTTTTCCCCCGCAAATTGTGCTGTCTTTCAGTGGTATTTGATCGCCTGTGCGGTTTTTATTTTTTGACAATTTTGAAAAAAAAATAATATTTATTACTTTTTTTTAAACATGTCCAGTAAAAAAATTTTAAAATCAAATTTCGTCATAAATTTAGGCCAAAAATGTTTTCTGCTACAAAAACCCAATACAAGTAAGTTAAT